ATGTTAATTAGGCTGATTTATTGCTTCTTCATTCCCGGCTGCCGACAACTTGCATCCAAGCTAGTTCAGCTGCTTGTTTCCACCCGCTGGTTGATTGGGGAATTTCCCCGATCAAACATAGGTAACCGTCATTCCCCCGTAATCAACAGGCTTTCCCCCCATTTCACCACTTCTTCAGGGTGATTTTTAACCCCCTGGGGGGTCCCAAACAGGTTGGAATTCAGCCCAGGGGATGGAGCTCCATCCTCTTGCTGCTGTCTTGCCAGAAGTCCTCAAATATTGTCTTTTCCTGATGTTAACCGCCATAGTATACATTTTTCAATGTTGTAAGCCACCTTGGTTCCTTTTCAAGGAGGCAGGTGCGAGGAAAATGTTTTAAGTAAATAAATAATGGACGAGGATGAGATACTGAATGAAGTGGGCTATCGTCGAGAAAAGATGATGCTGTGATAAAGGTCCTAATTCCTATATTTTACTTCATTTTTTTTGCTTATTACAGTCATACATCAGTTCCTGCAAGGTAGTTTCTTCATCATGGTCTCCGTGAATGCACACTAATGGGCAGTCTTCAGCGCTTGCACAAATCTTCGGAACCTTCTAGAGCTAAAAAATCAGGAGATTGTTAGAAGCTGCACCCTCCCACATTGCCTGTTCGTGCTTCTAACAGTCCTCCCTCAGTTCCTTTTTTTTGCCACCACTTAAGATGTATCTAGGCACTTTATGGCCTCAAGGGGCCCTTTTAAAAAGTGCCACAGCTGCAGCAACAAACTCCCCATGACAGATGGACACTCCCTTTGCCTCTTTTGGCTTGGGGAGTGGCACAAGCCTCAATCTTACCAGTACTGCTGTGGATCCACAAAGGCTACCCTTTGGCACCTACTGGACTGTCTAAAAGTTCACCTCTGGGAAGCCTCCCTTCAGGCCCCCAGGAATATGGTTTCATCTCGGGATGCACAACGGCTCCAACTCCTCAGCCCACTCTCTCATCATCCTTTTGTAAGCCATCCGAATCAAAATCTGTGAAACCGAAGGATTCGGCTCCAAAGATCTCAGTCCCAAAAACTCTCCTTCGAAGTTGTCAAAGAAAAAGAAGCATGCAGCTGACTCCAAACCGGCATCTCCAAAGCCTTTGCAATAGCGGGCTCTCCCAAAATTGACACCTTCCCGGGATGGAGCCTAGCTGCGTGGCGCCCTGCCTCACCCCAGGTCATT